TTTGGCAACTTCGCAAACGACAGCGACATCAAGGTATGAAATTATTTTTAAGCGTTACCGCCACGCCTGCTGAGTGTTGGAAGAGAGGGTTGCCGCTTTGGATGAGCCGGTCCATGGGGCACTGCCCATGAACAAGTTCAAAAGCGACTCGGCTGATTTAGTTTCATGAAAAGATCCGCCCAGGGCCGAAGTTTTGGAATTAGGATCAGATTTTGGAGTTCTTGTGTTTCCCTTCCCCTCCTTTGGGTTTGTGTGCCGCCCTGAGTCCCGCTGGGAATAGGGCGGCATATAAATAAAATGAACCTTGAACCTTGATAAGACATACTAACATTTCCATGCTCTTTTAGGGGGCGAAAGAATGCATCTTATACTCTGAAAAATACAGTAGTTACTAGATGTGTTTCTAGCCACTAGATTAATACAACATTAGCTAATTGCTCATACAGATATATTATATTCCTTTGGTTAAAAAAGAATTATGGCTAACCAAAATAACACAAAATTATGAACAATCTTCCGCATGCTCAACATCCAGATTAAAAATTTATCTAAATCCTTGAAATTTTAATGTCTCCTTAAAAAGTAAAGAGCATCTACCCTATTTATCAAATAGGGTTATTTAATTTATCAAATTAAAAAGCATCTTAACCATAAAAAGAGCCACAGTCAAAGCATGATTCCCTCCACAGAAAACAGATAAATACAAAGCCTTTCAAATCCTAACCTCTCTGGAACAAACCGTTTTCACTTAGCATCTGAAAATTATGGGAGAACTCATGGCAAGCACATCCCAAAACTTGCAGCAACCAGCGATGTTCCATGTCAGGTTACAATATTCTAGCTTTCCAACAGAACATGAAGTAGGGTTACCAAAGAGGATCTCGGCACGTGGACAGGTTCACAGACAGGTAGAAGATGGCTTATGGAGCATTCAAGTCCCAGATAATTTAACCTAGGATTATGGAAGAATGGGGCTATATCATCCATGTTCTCACAATGACCAAGAGTCATCTACAATGCTAAGTATAAGAAGAATTCATTACTGAGCAAGGAAAAATTAACATTTGGGATGGGATAGAATGTTCCAATAGGCGACATCAGTCAGCTGTCCTTACCCACTCTGGCCGTGTGACCTTCCAACATTGAGAGTTTCTTTCCTGCTGCAGCATCCCAGATCTGTACAAAACCTTTGTGGGTCCCAACTGCCACCAAATTGCCCTAAGCAGGGGAGTGAAAAAAAGATATCAAACATACGGCTGCAGGAACTATCACTCTCCTGGGAAAACACTACTCCAAAAACGGTCCCAGCTCCACAGCAATGTTGAAGAATGTGTTCTTTCTCTCTAGTTAGCAACTGAACACCTAAACATTTGCTGTTATTTATTTTACAGGCATTTGTATGCAGACTCACTTGCACAAAATTTCTGCAGGACGCTGAATTGCACTTTTAATGATAAAGGGGCTTTGTATGGTTTTGAAAAATAAGTTGTGTAGGATAACGTGGTTGTGCAGAGGGAGAGGGAGGGAGAGGGAGGGAGAGAGAGGGAGGGAGAGACAGAGACAGAGAGGGAGTGATGTTACCAGGCAACTGGACGGCACCTTGATTGGACCATGTGACTGTTTGGGGAAGGGGGAAAACTTTTACTTTTAATTAGGTGGGAATTGCGGGAACCTTCAGAGTCGATTCTCACCAGAACTGGGCCAATGATACATTGGATGATATATTGAATAAAACTATTCTTTGAGGAATCTACCTGCCTTGGAGTTTAGTTTGCTATGGGTGTATTATTTGGAATCAATGGAGGCCTAGAACCCACACTCCTGATTTCTAGGCCAGCACCTTAGCCACTATAGTAAACTGGCTCTCAATCTTAATCTCAGACCTGCAGTGACCACATACTGACCCGTTCTGACCATCCTACAGAGGTAACAGAATCTCCTTCCACAGAGAGATCACACAGCCGCGTCACCTTAGGGGAGGAAAAGTCAAGAATCAGAAATCTCTGTAAAGGCACTGGGGGAAAAAAGAGGGGGGAATCATATATTTGGGTTTCAGAAACCTCTCTTGTACTTTTGGCTTCAGAAAGCTAAGCAGTAGGAAAATCCTGCCCTTAACAAAAATTTCAAGCCAGGGGTTTCCAAACGCCCAGCATCTGAAAGATACTGGTTTTCAAATTTAAATGTGGTGCATGTTCAGAGCAGGCTACCAGAGCAGAAACCCACATAGCTAGTCAAAGGAGGGACTTCTTCAAGGGGCCCCAAAGGTGTTTTTTCAGGAGGCAGCTGGATAAAAAAACACCTTTGGGACAACCAGGACCTGGATGACTGAGAATCAGTCAGACTTTTATCTATACAATTTGGGATGAACACCCTTTGAATGGAGTGGGAGTAGGAATGGCTTTTCAGAGGTGGGGAGAGAAATTGCAGACTACAGGAACTAGAAGCATCACTCAGGTGACCCTGAGGAACACAGATAAACCTCCAAGGGCTTCAACGACCTTCTAAAGGATGCAGATGACCAGCTGTCTGCAAGGAATATAAATCCTTCCATTTCCCACTATCCTGTCAGAGCGGAAGAAGCTTCTTGGATGAGAAGCGAAATGTCTTTAAAAGAAAAAACAAGAAAGTTCAGTTGCCTCCTGAAAAAGCACCTTTGGCCAACCATTACCTGGATGACTGAGAATCTCTACAGACTTCTTCAAGGGGCAAATAATATTCTGGCTCTCTATTGGGGGAGATGTCCAAGGGCCATCTCCCCCAACTCTTGAATCAAACAACAGGCTTTACCTGGCTAGTGCAAGCACTCCAAAGGTAGACACATGTCCCAAGACCAACACTGAGGACGTTGAGGGATGACCAATCAACTAGGTTCAAGTAGAAGTCATCTTGAAGTTCTGGAGCATCCAAAACTTTGAATGGAATCTTGGATATCTTCCTTGTGGGCTTTCGAGGTGATCGAAGTAATTTTTGACTATTGGAAGGAGGAAGGAAAAAAGAAGTTGAGGAAATTATCCGAGAGAAAGAATATCCATTCTCCCCAGATATACCCTAGTTTGGTTACCCTCCTCTTACAAATACACACAAACAATAAGATATTTAAATATCAAAGGAATCTGGCTGTTCTATTATTTCCTGAAGTCACTTCAGGAATTCTAGACCATTTAAAGGACCACCTCCCTCCTATTATATCCACTCAGCCCACCAGGATGGGAAGGCAGGGTATGTTGCAGATCCCGTCTATTAGGGATCTATATTTGGTGGAACCATGAAAAGGGAGTGATGGTGGGACCTTCTCAATGGAATATCATTCCTCCAATGTATGATTAACCCTCCACTATGTTGCTTTTCCTAAAGGCCCTGAAGACGTGGTTTTGTCAGTGCGCCTGGGGACCATGAATGGAGAATGGTTGATTTGATTATGTTGCTGCTACCACAGGGAAAAGGTATGGGTTTTTATGTTGTGGAATTTTTAATGCTTGGAGTCACCTGGACAGCCATATAAATAACCATCAGCGGCTATTAGAGTTACATTCTTCTGGCAGAACTGGAAACAGCATGCAAGTTGGGTGATGGCATTGCCCTTCTTCCCTATTTAGGGCTTTTCATATTTTGAGTAATAAGTGCTAGACATATTAATTTTTGTTTAATTCAGCACTGTTCTTCTTGTATTCTGAAAAAGATATTTCTTTTATATTCTTTCTCTATATGCTAAACAGCTAGAGATCAAGCAGGGGTTGGTTATTCGAATGCTGGGGATGCTTTCATTGAAAGTTGTGTATTGAGCAAAGATTGAGACCTAATGCTCTAAATTCCACACATCTCCTCCCTGTTTATTCACACACTGACATTGTTACATGGCTGGCTGGGGAATTCTGGGAGTTGAAGTCCATACATTTTTATGTTGATATGGTTGAGAAACACAGCTGTAAAGGGTCACCCTGTAAAAATCCTAGAAATAATATATTCATTGATTAATGGTCCAGGAAGCAACATTAAAAAAAAGAGAAGACTAGATCAGATTAAACTGTTCTATCAAATACACCTCACACAGTTTATATGGTTCAGATGCCAATAGAATAGAATAGAATAACAGAGTTGGAAGGGACCTTGGAGATCTTCTAGTCCAACCCCCTGCTCAGGCAGGAAACCCTATACCATTTCAGTGTCATTTTAAGACATATGGAAACTCCCACCCACCCCAAATCCAACACAATTCAAGAAAATTTTCCCTTCCCATTTCTAAAACAAGCGCAAGAGAAAAGCTCAGCCATGAGGGAAGAGGATTTGCAGCTTATCTCACGGGAACTTTATTCTACCACACCCACACTGTATTCCATCCACAATAGCAATAGCACTTAGACTTATATACCGCTTCACAGTGCTTTACAGCCCTCTCTAAACGATTTACAGAGTCAGCCTATTGCCCCCAACAATCTGGGTCCTCATTTTACTGAACTCGGAAGGATAGAAGGCTGAGTCAACTTTGAGCTGCTCAGAATCGAACTCCTGGAGTGAGCACTGAGTTAGCCTGCAGTACTGCATTCTGACCACTGTGCCACTACGGCTCTTTTAATAATAAAAACCACAACAAATTTCAATGCAACTTCTAGTTCCCAAACCACGAGGGGGCATTAGTTCCAGGATGATTATTCTGCATGGATAAATAACCACCATCCCATTTCAAAGGGTAGCCAACCTTTTGTTGCTGACAGGGGAGAGGGAGTATGGAGAGACCTCGTTGCCATCATCAGGACTGGAACGTTTTGTGGTGAGGGAGTACTACATTAACAAGGAGAAAACAATTGCCCCGAAATTAGCAAACTGAGTTTTCTGCCAAAGAACAAGCACTTGATTTCACAATCCATTCAGACTTCACAGATAGCACTAAGCTATCATATTTGTTTAATTTGGGCTTAACCTGCTCTCTGAACCCCAGCCATTGTGACTATTCAATAAGAACCTGGCTAAGTGCAATATATGTATGAAGTCAGTCTGGCCTTTCTGTCTGCCAAATGCTCACAAACAGCCTGTTTAGTTGTCTTTGTCTACAGCTTTCCTTCAACAGGCAACAAGATAAGAAACAGAGAGTGACTCAAGAGTCTGCTCAACCACATCCTTTTCAGCTGTAATTAAAAAAAATTGAAATAGCCTCCCCAGAGTGGCTTATCTTTGCTTGCTTTCAGACAAGCAACATATCAGAAAGACAATAAATAACTTCACACTATTTTATGATCTAATTCTTTTCAATTTGTTTCAATATTTTTTTAACCATTATCCCAATGCTTCTTTTGTTGTACTTTAACGTTCTGTTTTAATTTTAGTGGGAGACGATTTAGCAACTTTAACAAGGGTCAGATATTAGAACTATGCAAAGAATTCAAAATAACTGCTTTATAAACATGTATCACAACTCTGTTCAAGGACAGCTGTTTTGCTCTGGCTAAGTTGCTTCCTGATGTATCTTTTTTAAATGTTTTGCATACTTAAGACACAATATCTGAATACACATTTCTAAAAATGTAGAAGAATATTACTGCACTAGTGGTATTCCATTAACCATCAGATTAATTTGAGAACAGGAAGCTGAATTAGATTCCCTTTTGGCCTGATACACGCAGCTTTGATTTTTTAAATGAATTTGCATTTAAATTAATAGCTGTACCATGCCACATGTGATCTAACAATAATAAATTCTTTGTTTTTAAATAGTTAATGAAATATAACAGATCAATGGTTTTTTTTTACCTATAATGTTTTAACTGGGACTTCCAAATCCAGAAACAATCTAAATTTCAACTATTAAATGGGCCACTTTACAAAACATTATGTTCAGCTAAACAGATTCACACCCTAACTGAGTTTAAATGAATAATACTAATTCCTAAATGAATCATTTAATCCCTAATTCCTAAATGAGTAATACTACTGGTTTTTATTGCAGGTCACCACTGACTATTCTACAAAAAGGCAATATAACTTTCAGAGGAGGAGAATACCGTGAAAAGGCTCTTCTTCTCAGGCGTGGAGGGCTGCAGCCTCCTGTCCTCAGTCTGTGGATCTTGGACTTTCTCAATCCCAGCTCCAAGGAGTTCATTTTTTAGCAAGGCGGAGTAGGCAAGGCCATCTGCACAAACAAAAACCTTGTGATTGGCCGTTTCTTAAAAAAAAAAATAGGTTAACTGGAAGCAAGTAGCAACTTACAAAAACAAAAAACAAAAACAGTTTTTCAAAACATTTTTTGATAAGAGACATTTTACCAAAGATATTAATTAGTAATCAAGAGATTGGAGACTGAATTTCAAAGTTACCCAAATCTGTCTTATTGGCAATGTAATAAAATTAACAGCTACTATTATTATATTTAATTAACTTACAGAAAAAAGGACATAGAATTTTTTAAAAAATATTATTTCCAAAAGATATTAGTGACCAGGCGGTTGGAGACTACATTTGAAAGTTAGTTAAATCTGTCTTATTACAAAGCGCTAATATACTTAATTACAAACATGAAGGATGAGTATAAGTAATGCTGAGATCCTATTAATATTAGTTAAGGATCCCTTATTCTTTCTTAAAGCTTACATTCATTTTGGCAAAAGCTTCAGACTCTGCTAAATATCTTCCACAGGGTTATTATGTAGTTTTCTCCCCCAATGTCTACGGAGATTCTCAGTCATCCAGGTCAAGATGGCAAAGACAAACAGCAAACCAAGGTACTGCAGTCTAGCACAAACCAGCCTACCCCAATCTCTTCAGAGGGCCTAAGGCATGCAAGCAATAGGCAAGATTTGGTCTCTAACCTTTGCCATTGTCTGAAGTGGCATCTTTTGCTTTTCTATTTTGACTTGGAGACTTTTCATTTTCCTAAAAATGCAGATAAAACAATTAGCATGCACCCATTTTGAGAATTTCCAAACTTCATAGTAGATCTTTTTTTTTTGCTTTCAAAAGGCAATATAATTGTTGTAAAGCTTTCTAAGCAGCCTCACTGCAGAAGATTCTGAGTCACATATCAGAGGTTCTACTTTGACTACCTGCTTAATTTGGCACTACTTGTACTCCCTTATTTCCCTAGATTTAAAAATTGTTCTCCTCTTCAATAGTTAGACATTTTAGAGGAATATGGAGTTCAAGGAACTCTATTACAGCTCATCTTTTCACCCAGAAATTCTGATATTTTTTTTAAAATGCCAAAAGTTTTCAAAACACCTCTTCAATAAACATTGCTGCCCATTCACTCAGCTTGGGAGTTTTATAACCTGCTTTGCAGCTCCTCTCCTGCAGCCCCACTCTCTGCTTTTAAAGCTTAAATTCAAAGCAAGGCTGCATCAGGGAGGGAGACTATTCAGTTATTCTAAAAGCCGTGATCAACTGGCTTCCATCCCTTTTTCATTCAAACCAGCTTTTTTAAAAAATTACAGTCTTTTAATACCTATCAAACAATCCCTGCATGTACTGTTTTCCATTGATTTTAGAGTATGTCTTGCTGGTATATATTTATAATCAATTATTAAGAAAATAAATCTTACTTGTGTAAACCGGATATTTTTCAATAACTAAACCCATCTTCAAGAATCACTTGAAGTTCCTCAGCATTTTTAAGACCCAAAAGCCTTGCATCACAACTCCTGACACTCTGAACATCTGGATAAACTCCTGCTTCACACCTAAAAAACCCTCAAATTTGACCATCACCTCCCTATCCAGGTAAGTAGCTCAAATTGTAAGATTGCCTTCTAAAAACTTGGAGAGGATTGCCAGCCTGACTAGACATGGTAGGCTGGATGACCTGATTCCTGACAATCTTGGCCATGATAGTCCTAAGACATATGGTACTCTCCATATGGGTTAAGATCACAACTCCAATCACTGAACATGTTATTTTATTTTGGATATCATCAAATGTTTAAGGGAAACCATGACTGTAAAATATATATTTAAAACAAAACAAAACACACAAATGGAATGACCAACAGGAAGAAAGAAAACATCATGTCAAGTATTTGGGAACATCCGGTCACCCACAACCAGTCAGCCAACTAAACGGCCTTTTCTGCAAAGCTCACATTTATTCTATGAAAGCTGATGCTCCAATTTGCTCCGGCTCGGGAAGGAATGAATCTGTCACCATGTTTACTAGGGGAGGAGACGGGTGAATTAGAAGGTGTCAAGGTCCTCCTCATATCTGTAACCTGGAATTTTGAAAGAACGAGAATGGGAGGGAAGAAAAGGTCAGGAAAGCAGCCATTGGAAATCCACAACAAAGACTAGTGACAAAACAGAATACAACTGCATTAAAAATGAAATTCAGCAATTACAGAAAAATGAGGTTCCAGGTTGTCCTCGACTTACAACAGTTCATTCAGTGACCATTTAAAGTTATGGGAGGGAGCATACTAGTCTCCCTTTATTTATTTATCAGCACAAATGCAGTACACACACACACACATCTATATCTCAGAGTGAAATAAAGCTACCTCATTTATAGCATTTGCTAGGATAATGCAAGCTACCCACAGAATTGCAGGAAAGAACAACAAAATATTCACATTTAAAAACTATTTCAATGGCACAAAAACCTTATTTTTTATCTGTTTGGGCTGTTTTGCTTTTTTAAAATTTTCAGAGCCAAAATCTATTATTGAATAAGTACAATAAGTGTGTTAAGCAGGGGAGTACAGAATGTTCTGACTTTAAATAACCACCCATTCCAGCTTAGGAAGGCCACTTCTGAATATTCTAGATAGGATTCAACCTGTCACTTCCAGAACTGAATCATTTCTGGACATTTAGAACCACTTACAGAGTATTCTGAAAGGATTGGAACAGTTTATTTGGGTGAGGGCATTCGGTGCAGTTTAATGCAATTTCACTTAGCACCACACTAACAATGCATGATCTTGCAAAACTGTCTTGTTATATTTAATATATATCTACATTTTTATATTTTCATCACATTGCAGAAAGATAAAAAATGAGCACTGAATTTCAATCACCTGGCGTCACTAAATTTTTTAAAACAAAATAATAATAATACTGTATTACTGAAAAAACCCACAAAAATATATGAATTTGAATGCTTTCCCATTTATTTCATTTTCACTCTTCTGTTGCGAATATCAATGGCAATTCCAATATTTGGCTACTGCATATAAATATGTATTACATGATTTTAATGAGACCTTTTATATTTCTCCAAAGCAACAGGAAACCGCTGAATCTGACAAATTGAATATTTGAAAATACACACGTTTCTTTAATATGAATTCAAATTGCTTCTGTTGCCTCTTTCATCACTTTCCTTAGGCACATACCCACACTCGGTTTTCCCAGAACTTTACATAGCCTCTCAAAATAGGGATGCAACCGAGAGGTCCTGAAGTTTCTGAACTCTTAAGAAGTCACCAAATTATTACTTTACAGTTAAAGGTAAAGGTTCCCCTTCCACATATGTGCTAGTCATTCCTGACTCTAGGGAGCGGTGCTCAATTTCGTTTCAAAGCCAAAGAGCCAGCGCTGTCCGAAGAAGTCTCTGTGGTCATGTGGCCGGCATGACTAAATGCCGAAGGCCCACGGAACACTGTTACCTTCCCACCAAAGATGGTTCCTATTTTTCTACTTACATTTTTATATGCTTTTGAACTGCTAGATTGGCAGAAGCTGGGACAAGTAACAGGAGCTCACTCCGTTATGGGGCGCTAGGGATTTGAACCGCTGAAATGCCGACCTTCTGATCAACAAGCTCAGCGTCTTAGCCACTGAGCCAGCATATCCCTTTAGTTAGGGTTGAATTAAAATTGAAAGGTAGTTTCAATTTTAATTAAGTTTAAATTAAATGCAGTTTTCTACCATTCCCTGTTTTTGAAGTACACCCCTCTCTAAGATACACTTTATGATTGCAAATAGAAGAATGCAAAACTAGGTAATCATTTGTAACTTAATCATATAAACAGCACAGCATGTGTTTGCTCATTATCTCTTGCACAACATGAATCATTTTTAGAGATGTATGCCACAATAGAAGGATTTTATTTCTTGTATCATATACAGGGAAATTTTAAATGCTTAATAATATTTACAGAAGGCATCATGTTTTCATTCTGGATGTTGATCTGACGGAGAAGGCGCCTTTCATAATCTTGATCCATGATGGACAGGTGCAGGATAGTGGAGGGAAAGAGCCAAGGCGTTTTATAATAGTCTCACACAATTTTTTTGTGCATGGAGACCAGGAAGTGACCAATAGGCTGCAAAGAAAAAGGCAGAACCATCAAACTCCAAGCAGTTGAAATGTTAACTCCATCATCTGTTATAATTGTGAGTTCTAATTCCTATTTTAGTATTAGATGACACCTATTTTCACTTAATTACAATGGATTTACACACTGGGCAAATTGCTCATTTATAGACACGATCAAGTCTGGATCATCCTATGTAAAAATTAGAAATGTTTTCTCCAGCTTAAAGCAAAAACATTGTGTAGCCAAAGTCTTATGTGTTAAAATCAGGCTGATAAAAGAATGGCACCATTCTTTTATTAGTTGCAGGGACTGGCTGGGACTAAGAATTCATTGTTCTCCATACAATTAAACTTATCAACTTGTAATTTAAACAATCACACATTTCTTCTATGAGATCTCCATTCTCCTGATTTATTATAGACAGTAAACTCTTCAGTGCTCACCTGTTTACATGTGGTAAAGCTTCATAGATAATGATAGTACTACAGAAAGACAAACAATTCAAAATTTCCTCACTGCTATTCAAATTAGAAAGCTGGGTCTTAAAAATCCTTGAGAACCAAAGCTTACAAAGTTTTTACCAAACTCTGTAATGTTTCTCTACAAAGCAGTGGCAGATACACTCAAGATCCTTCAATGCCTGTGCATACCGACCTACCAATGAAACCTTACATTACCCAAAGTCAGTTTTAACTTTGAGCAATGCATAACCAACATTTTGTTTGAGCATTATTAAAAAACTTTAAAAACATGTTTTTAAATAACATTAAAACATTAATCCAATACTTGTGGCATAAGAAAATGAAGCATAAATTTCACGTGTTTGAAATGTGAAAAGCCGTAAATATGTGTATTCTCCCTTTTCCTCATCTAAAATACTAGACATTTGTGAAAGTCATAGAAAAGACTCTTATATTTTATTTTCCATATTAAAAATATGTACAACGTAAAATGTATTTCTGCACCTGAGAGAGCTGCAACACCAAGTCTTCCTTGCTCCTCTGAATGAACTATGATCTTGTATGCTGATGAACTTTGATGAACTTTTCATTTCAATCTGTCTCTCCTGTCTGGCTAATCTGACACACAGCTTGAAGTTATCTATTGGCTCCATCAACCAGCAAGTGGCTTCTGAGTAAATTTATTCAAGACTTTCTCTAAATTCCACAAATGTGCCAATTCCTTGCGCCAAGCCTTAGGCATGAAAGCCACCTGGGTGATTTTGGGCCACTGTCTTCAGACCAACCCACCACACAGATTTGTTATGGGGAAAATAGGACGCAGGAGTATCTATATTTGTCATCCTGAATTGACTAAAATATCTAAAAAAATATTATATACATAACAGTGTGACATCATAGTTGCCAGTTCTTTAGCTAGTATTGGCCTTCATACAGAGTTCTTCCCAAAATAGAATCTAGGATGTAGTATATTATCAAAGTGTATGTGCAGATCCAAAAAAAGTGCCCTTTTGTGATTGATAGATGGAAATGTTGTCAATGCAGAAATTTTGTAAGCGCTGTCAAGATTTTTGGGTATGGCACCAGTGTGCCACGAAGCACGGTAATTATTATCATCATCATCATCATCATCATCTTACCTGACATGTTAAATTAGCAACATCTGTTGTCCTCAAAGGGTGTTGCACTAACATTCCTAACAGGTAATATTTACCTGATATAAATAGTTCTGGGCAATGATAATATGAAAAGCCAAAATAAATTACAACTATATATTTTACATTCTCACAGCAGTGAAAAAAAATGCATGTTGTGCATCTTCTCTATATTTTTTTCTGATGAAAAAAGAAAAGAAGAATGGGAATTTTTGTCCTAAGGCTTCAAAATTAAAAAAAAAAAATATAAACACACATATATCCAGTCAATTCTAATCATCATCCATCAAGTGCACCCCAGCTTAAAGCCTCTCAAGCTTCTTTTACAGCACCCAATTCCCAACTTCTTCAGTTGACCCAATGCCTCCCCATCCCCTCTAGCCAGCCAATCGGGTTCAAACCCGAGTCCGATGAAATTAAGACATTTCCACATAAAATGTTTTTTTTTCCAGATGCAATGCACAAGTGGGCAGTGTTAAACAAATACAGGTAAATATAATTCCTCTCCCAGGTTTCCTTTAGTCCAGTGACTAATCTATGCTATACATGGAGTGGGAGGGAGCGGCGCTTAGCATCTATCACTGGACTAAGGATGGAGATAACCAGCATTTGGGAATTAACCTCCAGTCTCCCGTGAGGAACCCTCCCCGCTGCAAATCGCCCTTATTACAGAGAACAAGGGATGCTCCAGAAGAGGCCTGTAGGGGAGTGGGGGTCCCCCGAGCCGCCTCCCTCTCCTCCATATTCACCCTCCGCCTTAAATGCCTGTCAGCCTGAACGCTCCCGTAACTAGACAGGCAGCCCTCCCACCGCATCCCAGCCCAGGCAGCCCCCCGTCCCTACATCACACAGGGATGCAACAGAGCCTTTCTCCAGAAGCCCCGCGCCCACTTTTCACCTGGGCGCAAAAGGAGGAAAGAACGGACCCGCAGGTAAAAGGAAATATAAACCCTCCCCCGTCTCACCTGCCCTCAGCGAGAGCCATCCAATATGGCGCCGATCCGACTCTCTTGCCCTCCCCTTTTCCCCGCCCACTCTTCCTTCCTCATCACCGGCGCGCAAGGCGTCACGGGAAGAGAAGTCCACTCCCCCCCCCCTCCAATCCGCCGCGTCCTTCTCGGCCTCGCTCGCTGATTCGCCCCGTTCGAATCAATACAACTCCGAGGGGAGCGTAGCCCTAGCAACGGTCCGGTCCCGGGGCGAGCCAGCTTTGCGCGAGATAAGCGAAGCGCAGAAGTACGGGAGGAAAGGCGGGCGGGAGGAGCAGCAAATTGAGCCACGGAACTGGCTTTTGCCCTTCTTCCCCTATATAGAAATCCGATGAACAATAATAATTTTTTTTAAATGGAGGACGATAGGAGGGGAGTTCATAACAGTGGGATGGTTTTTAAAATAAATGGGGAGGGAGAAGCGGCTCTGAAAATGTGTCGATTACCGGAGTCTGTTCATTCGTAGGTTGCACTGAAAAAAAAATCAAATAAAAATAGAACGAAATTGGAGGGTATTTGATGTTGCAGTAAATAACAGGTCTTTAAATCGCCCTTCTTTAAAAACTCCTGGATGTTTGCCTGTTCCGCAGTCTTATTTTACCGCAAGAACCGAAAGGAGAAAATTGAGAAGAGGAAATTGGGGGATGACAGGTGTGAAAATATTTTTAATGTTGACCATTAAGCCTCTGGATAGGTGCAGGCTCAGCCATCGACAAGTTTATTAATAATTAATAATTATTTATTAATAAGGAATGACCTGTATAAGAGCCAAGGTGGCGCAGTGGTTAAATGCAGCACTGCAGGCTACTGCTAGATCAGCAGTTCAGCGGTTCAAATCCCACCCGCTCAGGGTTGACTCAGCCTTCCATCCTTCCGAGGTGGGTAAAATGAGGACCCAGATTGTTGGGGGCAATATGCTGACTCTCTGTAAACCGCTTAGAGAGGGCTGAAAGCCCTATGAAGCGGTATATAAGTCTACTACTGCTATAGTGGATGGTATTTACAAACTATGAAGCGCAGTTCCCTACCAAAAGGATAAGAGAAAAAAACAATAACTACTATAAAGAACATAAAAAAATACAATTTAATTTCATGCCATAAGGAGACAGACTAACCTTGGGTAGAACAGCCATGAAGGTCTTGAAAAGGATAATCAGCCTAAAATTCCAGGTAAGTTGTGTCTATACCTACAAAAAGTCAGAATTGTGCAAGCCATGGTATTCCCTGCGACGCTTTATTAGAAGGGAAAGTTGGATTTTAAAATGCAGGATAGAAAAAAATATTGATGCTTTTGTTCATTAATGTCGCAGGAGACCCTGAACATACTGCATACAACCAAGAAAAACTGCTGGATCATTGAATAAATCAATCCAGAGATCTCATTTTGAGGCAGAAATGGCCAGGCTCAAATATTCTACTCATTGGAAAAGGCTGTAATGTTGGGAAAAGTGGAAAGAAAAGAGAATGGCCAACACCATGGTGAACCTTTTTCATCTCAGGTGCGCTATCGTGCTCACTTGCCCATCCCCATAATTTAGTGACACACACCTGCTGCCCCGCGCATCCACGCACAGCTTTCTTAGAGCCTGGGGAGAGCGAAAACGGCATCCGCCCCCGGCCAGAAATTCCGACTTCCAGTGTGCCTGGTAGGTCCGTTTTTCACTCCCCAGCTCCAGAGGCTTTCTAGGAGCCTGGGGAGGGTGAAAATGGCCTCCCTGTGGAGGCCCTCCGGAGGCCAGAAATGGTCCATTTTTCAACTTCTAGTGGGCCCGGTAGGTCCATTTTTCTCCCTCCCCAGAGGCTTTCTAGGTTAGGGAACGGTCTTCCTTGTTGCCCGTTGGGCTGTTTTTCTCCCTCCAGAGGCTTCAGGCGACTTCCCTGAAGCAACCAGGGCGAAAAACAGCCCAACACACAAACCAGAAGTCCGTTTCTGAACTTCCGGTTTGTGTGTTGGGTGGTTTTTTGCCCCCCTGAGGCTTCAGGAGGCTTTCTTGAAGCCTCCGGAGGGCGAAAAACTGCCCAACGCACAAACCAGAAGTCTGTTTTCGAACTTCCAGTTTGCACGTTGGGCAGTTTTTTGCCCTCCGGAGGCTTCAGGGAAGTTTCCAAAGGGTGAAAAACAGCCGAAAAGCAAGGCTGAAAATTGGCTGGTCAGCGTGCGCATGCGTGCTGGAGCTCACAGGCAACGCCTCATGTGCCCTCAGTAATGGCTCCACTTGCCACCTGTGGTATGCATGCCATAGGATTGCCATCCCAAGCCTGGGGAATGGCTTAGTTACAATGGTAATGGGAGCATCATTGGGAGGCCTGAAAGAGTGGGCTAGGGGGGAAATCATGGAGGAAATCTATTGATGTCACTAGGAGCTGAAAACATTCTGTACTTGATTGTACAAAATCAATCAATCATAAGGAGATAACAGTGAAGAGAGGAGTTGAGACAGCGTAAACAACGGAAGAATGTTTATTTGAATCGTGTATAAGTAGGCATATTTGCTTATTGCATATTTCTTTTTAGTATATTCTCTTGGACGTACATTGTACTGTTTTGCAACCAAGCTATTGCAACATTAATCTGGGAATAAATCCCACTGAAGACTAGAATATTTATTTCTCAATAAATCCACTAGAAGTGGCTACAGACAAAACTATTCTTGTTGAAGTTGGTCACGTATTTTTCATCTTTGTTGTTTCAGTTGGAACTGGAAAATGGCCCACATAATGCCATGAGAGGAGAAAGTTAGGGAGGTAGGAGGCAGAGAAGAAATTGAGAAGATATCTAGGTAAATTATAAATTTGGTTAGATTAATATTTTTTTTCTGGGGCCACTATTGTTTTAATAAATGGCCTTGATATTCCCCTGAAATACTTCTGTTATGTGAGCTCTATACTAATGGTCTTTCAGGTGCAATTCAGATAACACATCTTAATGGACTGAGGAGACAATAGCAATAGCAATAGCAATAGCAGTTAGACTTATATACCGCTTCATAGGGCTTTCAGCCCTCTCTAAGCGGTTTACAGAGTCAGCATATTGCCCCCAACAACAATCCGGGTCCTCATTTCACCCACCTCGGAAGGATGGAAGGCTGAGTCAACCTTGAGCCGGTGAGATTTGAACCGCTGAACCGCAGTTAACAGTCAGCTGAAGTGGCCTGCACTACTGCACTCTAACCACTGCGCCACCTCGGCTCTTGCCTTTTCCATCATTATTCCTGTGCTTTGGAACAGAATCCCCCTCACCCAGGTTCAGCCTCAGCCCTGTATCTGTTCCACCTGAATTAAGATTATTCTCCCCCACCATCACCACCACAACCATTATTTGATGATGTTCTTAAAATAATTTTAGTATTAGTTTTAAGCTTTTGCCCAGAGTAGTTGGTTAGAGGGCAGTGGTTAGAAATCAAAATAATGAAATCACTAATTTGCTTTTTGCCTCTTTTCTACATCCAGTTTTCCTCTGTCATTTATACGCACGTTATCCCAGGAAATATCTAGAAGAGCAAGTCTGGTTTGAGCAGAATCCACAATTTCAGGAAATGTTAAGGCCACTTGCACTTAGTTTCAGTATTCTTTTGAAAATGCCCAAAAGTGATTTGATAAGATGTTGTAGATGCAAAAGCCTATCTAGAATCTAGCGCAATCTCTCTAATCATGGGATAACAGATGACAAAAGGAAGTATTTGACAATTTAGCCATGAACAGTGACATTCCATGGAATCAATGCTTTTAACAATTTGGAATGCAAAAAAACCTTCCAAATGTCACTTCCTTTGTTGAAAAAAATAAGTTTTAAAAGTGGCAATGATCACTCTAAGCAAGAAAGAGAGCCAGTTTTGTGTAGGGCTTAAGGTGGTGGCCTAGAAACCAGGAATTCTAGTCTTGCTTTAGGCACAAAAACTAGCTTGAGTGACTTTGGATCAGTCCTTCTCTCAGCCCAACCTACCTTACAGCATAGCTGTGGTGGGGAGAATAGGAGGCAGGAGTTTAGGAAAAATCCCTTCATAAACATTTCCTATACTTTCTGTGGGCTGGGACATCTACAACCAGTAGATGTCCCAGCGGGACAGGTTGTAGATGTGTGCAGCTTTCTTTCCTGTCTCCCAAAGTCATTCCTTTCTACCATTACACATTATGCCTTTACAGACAGCAACCATCATACCTGGAATCCTGCATACAGAAGGTCTGTCTTATGTGGGCTGCAGAAATCTAGATGACTGTAAGATGGCAGCATAAAAGAGTTTCTGTAGATTTTTGTAGCTAAGATCTAAAAGCTCTATAGACAACACTTTGACAACACTGGGCATTACACATCGTAAAAAGATCGGAGGAAAAAAGGGCAATCCAATCTGGAGTCTAAAATGCCTCTAAAGAAAAAGATTTGTGAAGAACACTCTTATAAGGAACAAATTATAAATACTAACACTTTACTAAAAGCTTTGCACATATGCCACTTATAGCATTTACTGCTAATGACAAGGAGATACCAGTCATGTTTATCATGCTTTTATCAATATGGCATAATTAAAACTCTATTTAATGCAAACTAGGAGCTCTAATTTAGAGACTACATTGCAATTCATCATACTTGGCCAACATCCAACAAACCAAAGTATTTGTGCCGTATTCCACTTTTCTGCCCATAGCGTATGTTTAAATGATTAACTCAGAGCAGGTAGAATGAATGTCAACTGTATGTATATGTGGAGAAGCAATCCGAGGAATCGTTATGTTTATTGCAAGAAATTTTCTGACGAGATTTATTTGTACAGTGGGAATTTTATGCGAGACTGGTTTTAATTTTGAATTTGAACTTTACTGTGAATTTTACTGTGAAGTATAAATAAATATGTCTGAATACATTAAGTTATAATGGATGGCTTGTTCTTATAATTAATCTAATTTGAAATTTGATTCACTTAGACCAGGGCCGTCAAACTCATGTTGTCATGGAAGCAGCATCTGACATATCGGGACCAGCAAGTGGCCCATCTGGCCTATGGGCCGGGAGTGTGACAGCCCTGTCTTAGATGAATAAGAATTTGTTTTATACAATAAT